AGGGCATCATAAGAAGCAGAAAGACTCTGCCCTTTGCTGGCTCAGAGTTGGAAAGATGAAAGACTTTGTTCTGAGAAGAGACCCCCAAGCATCAGGTTCCAGAATGGTAGCTACTTAGGGAGATTGTTCCCCAGGAATTGGTTCACAGGCACTCAAAATCTACAGCTAAGATAAAAGGAAGCCTGGCTACTGCTGCAGGTGACAGCAGAGCTTAGCATCCACCATGTAGTGCTGGCTTAGGTGCATGTAAAATACAGGAGTTGTGGAGTTAGAAAAGCTTCCATCCATATTTCAGAAGAAGGCCTCAGAGGCTAGGCAATGTGCCCCTGAGAGGGCAGTATGTAAAGCTGTGAATGCAAAGCCAAAGGTGCAGTAGAGACCCCAAAAGTTTAAAAGTCAGGAATGTGCATCTTCTGAGGAAAACTGTAAGGAGAAATCTGCACTGGCAAAGAAGAAAAAGCCATTAGAGCTATAATTGCTGGCAGTATGCAAAGACAGTCAGCCAAGCCCTTCGGCATTCACAACTTGCCGCAAATTGTCAAAGGTGCTAGAAGTAGAACTATGATATTTAATGTTTGCCCTGTAAATTTTGGTCTTGATTTGTCCCCATTCCTTGCTGTCCTCCTGTTTATAACTTTTAGAATAAAAATGTCTGTATTATGTAATTAAATGTTAAAAGTGTTTAACTTTCTTTTTTTAATTGTAGAGGAACTTGCAGCTAAGAGTTTACCTTAAATCTCACAGAAGACTTTGGACTTAGACTTTTCAGTAATGCTAAAAACTACAAGACTTTGGCAACTCTTTGAGATGAACTAAATAACGTTTGCATAAAGGAATGCACATAATTCTTGGGGTGCCAGGACCTAATATTATGGCTTGTGCCTAAATGGGCCACCAAAGTCCTATGCAGTCATAATTGGGTCTTTTTCAAAGGGAACTGGATCTAGAGTGTGCATTGCTGGAATTGATTCACAGCACAACACTAAACTTGAGGGCTCTAGAATTACGGCTATGGGCTATGTGCATTCAGTAATCCAAATAAGACATAAGAGGTAAAAAGCCAGTATTAAGGTCCCTTCTTTGCTTGTTTTGCTGCCAACTGCCCACCATGAACTGTTTTTCTATGATACCCTGCCTTAGAGTCAGCTGATTACACACTAAAGCCTCTACAAACTACGAGCTAAATAAACCTTTCCTTCTTCAACTTGGCATGTCAAATATTTGTTTCAGTAACAACAACAAAACTAAGCCAGTAATATATTCACTGGCATCTTTGGGGAGCCACAGTTCCCATCTCAAAGTGCAATTCATGATTTGAGATTGGATCTTGTACCAAAGGAAAATGAATGCAAAAATTTTAAACGATAAAAATATAGGTAATTGATCAGAGTATTATGGCTAAATCATTTACTAATGCTGCAATCAGAGTTCAGTTAAACAGAAAAAGTATTCTTCATTTTTGAATTATGGATGTATTTAGAGCTAAGCATCCATGGTGGGCACAACCTATCAGGGGATTCATAAAAATAACAAAAAGCATATGCACACATGTGGAAAGAAAGCAACAGATAAAGGAAAAGAGGCAGAATGTTGAAAAAGATGAATTTAGATTAAAAGTAACTGGTGTCCTTTAAATATGCTCAGGATTTTTCTGTAAATTTAAAATTATTTAGAAATAGAAAGTTTTTAAAATTGTGTAAATAATTTACTTGAATAACTGAAAGTTGTTGGGGTTTTTTGTTTTGTTTTGGTTTTGGTTTTGGTTTTTTTTGCAACAAGAAAAACTGGAGATATAGCTCTGTGACACAAGCACCTGCCTGGCAAGCACAAAATCTCAAGTTTGATTCTTGGTGCAAAACAAGAAAGAAAGAAAGAAAGAAAGAAAGAAAGAAAGAAAGAAAGAAAGAAAGAAAGAAAGAAAGAAAGAAAGAAAGAAAGGAAGGAAGGAAGGAAGAAAAAGTAAAAGAAAAAACAACTGCAAGAAGAAAGTCACAGTTTATGTCACAAAGATTTGAATGCCTATGAGCTGCACAAATTCAGCAACTCAATTTTTTTCTATAATGACATTACCAGTAAATGAAAAGGACCAGCAACCTCTGAGTATTTTTCAGGTTACAAAGTTAAGGAAATCCTAACCATTGGGCAATATTATAGTTTTGAAGATTTTAAAATAGAATTGGTGATTATCTCTGGATTTAAATACTGACTAGTTGATCACAACCTGCTATTTGTGAGAGAGAATCTGCTAGGTCATTTTCTGAGATGGCCCTTACGAAACTAGGTTTCCTTTTTTCAGGATGACTTAGTTGATTTTTGAAACAAAGGCAAATAACAATAACTGTGTTCTATTCTAGAGCCTTCTTCTGTCCTGTACCTCAGGCAAATGTTATTGCTTTGGCCCCGGGGAATCTTTCTAGCTTCCACTTCTACTCCACCCTGTATTGTTTGAAGACAAAAGATAAGCAGCTGGGACTCTGACCACTGACAAATAATCAGCCTCTCCACTGGGAAACTCCACTGGTTTGGGCAAAGAGCAGCATTTTAAAGTGATGGTAAAATCAAGGGTGAGACCCCAGTTTCTGCCCACAGCCCTATGCATGGGCTTGTTTTTATTGCCAACTATGTTGGCCAAGAACAATGTTTCTCCAGTAATTGAAGGACTGTGTGCCAGAATCAAATAATAGCAACTTTTCTCAAGTATAAAAGCCTGCGTAGAATGGATGTTGAAAAAAAAAAAACTTCATTTTTACAAGCCTAGATTTTGCTTCAACAGCCAATACTAAAATCACTCATTTAGCGACATCTATGATGACATCAGCATTTAACAAAACATCTATTTGGTTATTTACAGGTTAACACTTGTTTCAGAAAGAGCAGCAGGATTTCTCTAACTAAGTACCTTTAAAACCAACCATGTATCATAAAGCCCGCTTCAGTCAGGATCAGAACTGGGTCTCTATTGCCAGGAGGCTCCCCCCCCCCGCCCCCCCAGTACTTCCTGGCATTTTAATTATTCAGGTCCCTACTTACCACAACTTTGGGTTCACAGTCAGATGGCCTGGGGAGTTCTTTTCAAGACTTTCACTTCCTAGTTGTATAACTTTGGGCAAAATACTTCTGGGCTGCCCATGGTGTCATTCATTAGACAGAAATAAAAACAGCTATTCTACCAACTTTACAAGGTTTTTCTAATCATCCAAAGGAAAAAAAAAATATGTGAAATCATCTTGCAAATGGGAAATGTTATGAATAAGCCAAGTAGTTTCCTCTCATTATTTTCAAAGTATTTAAACATGCAAGACCATTTTCTAATTGACATGTGTGTGATTCTTCAACTGTCCAACAAAACCCTAGCTTTACAGTTTTTCTTAGCCAAAAATTTGCTGAATGAGTGATCAAATGACTGGATGAATTAGCTTTCAGGTTGCTGGAATTTTACATTTCTATTCCCAAGGAGCTCTCCCTACCTCAAGACTTTGAGCCTAACCCTGAGGATAACCTTTTCAACATGAAGATATGGTATGTATTCTAAGGACTTCTCGAGAACTTGAAGCAGCTCCTATGAAAATGCATAATTAAAACAAACAATGACATTCATGGGTAGTCTTTTGAAATGAGAGCCATGAGGACCAGTCAAACAGCTCAGCAGATTAAAGTGCCTGCTAGGCAGATGCAGGGACTGGGGTCCATTCCCTGCATGCCATGCCAGCCCCGCCCAGAGGTGCACTGAGACAGCAATTGAGATTGAGACTGGGTGTGGTGGCCTAAAACTGTAATCCCAGTGCTTGGGAGACTAGAAATAAGAGAATCATGATGAGTCCAATCTGTGTAGTGAGACCTTGCAACCCCTGTACTAAATATATAAGAAAAGAAAAGAAAAGAACTGAGAGCCCTGTAGCCTTTGCAAAACATTTTGAAGCACACAGTGGTGTACTTCCAGTGACTTTAATTTTGATTGACTGGTCCACAAAAATTACTCAGAACAGCTTGCACAAAGTTAAGATGTAATAAATATTTGGAAACTTATGGAATGATGAGTTACAGAGAAGAAAGTCCCCAAGTGGTTTTACTCCAGGATCAAAACAGTTAACAATGAATCACCATGAAACAACATACTAAAACCACTGTCAAGTTGCAAAGCGATCTTCACAGTAGAACAGCATGAACATTAAAATTTAAAATAGGCAAATGCTCGCTATCTTGTGGATGGATGGATACTTCAAATTAAAAGCATGCAGAGTTACTATGAATCTTTTCTGCCTTACCCAATTCCAGGGGGTGCTGTCCTCAGCGGAACACCAATAACATGCACTCAAATGAAAAATTCTAGCTCACAAAAATTGTTACCACTGAGGCACAAAGTGAAGAGTAATGGAAACGGATGGAACACACCCAAGGCTTTAGTTACAATGTTTAATTTTTAGGGAATATATCTGAAGCAAATTTTACAAATGGGGTAAAGTTTAATAAAGCTCTCTGACGGGCACAACACTTACTACACTATTCTTTAGGCTTGAGATATTCACGTATGAAGCCTGATACTACTTTATGCAATAAGAAAATTAATTACAATTCTTCATTTCAGTAATAGAGTATTATAATTGTGAGCACATATATTTATTGTAAGTTTCCAAGAATCTATTACACTACTAAGTTTATAAATATTTTTGTTCTCAAATTAAATAGGAAGGAAAGAGACTTATATAAGAATTTGCATAATTTTATAATCAAAGTTTTCTGAGGAATACTCAGAAAAAAATAGAGAAATCTGCAGCTTAGGCCTAAAGATGATTTCATTTGCTTTTGGAGTACTAAGACCCATGTTCTCAAATGCTCAGTGATATAATTTAACAGATGCCTGAGAAAAAAGCACTGTAAGCCAAATTCCAAAGTACTTTTATCAAATCAGCAAGTCCTAAGCAGCAGATAAGTACCTATCTCCATATAAATAATCCCTTCTCTTCTGTCACATACTAAAACAAAATGCACAGCTTACGTACCAAAACGTCCATCCCGGTGACATAGTCGAGGGTTATCAGATAATCTTTTGGAAGATTTGCTACCTACAAAGAAGAAAAAAAAATCTTTGAAAAGTTTCATACATATTAATTAATATCAATTAGTCGTACTGTTCACCCACCATTTCTTCATTTCCCTTACGGGCAAATGAATCTTTCTAAACAAAGTGAGTAGTAACACAAAATTCAGTTATGCGTGGCTAAGTATGTAACCTTTTGAGTTATAGAAACTTGATACAAACTTCAGTGTCCATCTCCAGTTTTACAATTCCTCAAGGACTATTTTCCAGCTTGTCCTTTCATATAATTAGTAATAAATATGCTTTTCTGTCAGTGACCTTGAAGTGAAGTGTCAGTATCAACAGAAAACCTTCTACAAATGCTATTCACTGGCCATCCCAGACCTACTAAACTTTATTTAAGTCCTTTAGCGGTTGTGATACAAGCTCAAGTTGGAGAACTACTGTTCTACATTGATCCTAAAAAGCCACAGAAACTTCAAAATAATAATGTTACTTACCAAATACAAATGCTTTATATTGTAAATAACTTAGAAAGGTTGAATTTGGTGATATAACTTAAGCCACTTACCTTGGGTTGAGCCCTTAAGATGCCTCAAATGTTCGCCTACTTTCTTTAAAAGCCTTAAACAAATTCTAACTATTTGCATTAGTCATCCTGGCATAAGAGAATAAACAATGAATTTGGAACCAAGGACTGTGGAACCAATTAAACTCTTGTAACTTGGTTTCAATGTGCCAAATATATTGTAAATATTCAATCTTTATCCTTTACTGAGAACTAAATAGGGGCATGATTTTGAAGGCTGATCTGGTTTACATATATATCCCTGAAGCCTTGTGTGATTACAATTGGGGCTTTTGAAAAGTGATTGATTGATTGATTGATTGACTGATTGTGAGGGTGGTATAGCCTATTTGCTTTCAGGAGGTTGAACCTGGTAAGAAGAGACAGGTCAACTGTCGATACAACCTGGAAGGAGATGTGACTGGGAAGGGGATATGACCTGGAGATATGATCCGGAAGGGTATATGACCCAGAAGAGCATACTACCCTCCCTTACTCCTCCCTTCACCCTGCCCCTCTCAAGTGCTGCTTCTTCTTTGAAGCCTACCAACTATGGATTGAAACTTGTGTCATAACAAACCTTTCCTCCTTTAAGTTGTGCATGTTGGATATGTTCTCCCAGCAATAAGAAAAGTGACTAATATAAAGGTATATAACTACTCCATTCTGCCTGTCTCTAAAACTTCATCTTCCCTATAGAAAATTTAGATTATATAGATGTTTGCAAAACTAGATTGTCTCCTCCTACCAGCCTTCCATAACATAAACTATATGCTTCTCCTTAGCTTTGCCAATAGCTTCTAGAATCTGAGAACTTGGTGAGCAAAGAATCCAGGCAAAGGTTAAGTATTCGGAAGGGAGCCAAGGTCGTAACTGGCCCTACTATCTTCCTACTTCCAGTGGTGGGAATCCCTCACTCACTTGAACCTTGAGCTAACACACTTGGTCTAGCTGCTCTTTCTTTAGGTCATGTGATAAAGCAAAAATAATGTCTAACACTTGTTGAGCATTTACTATGTGCCAGGTTCAGTGCTTTTTCAGGGCATAAACTGCATGTCATAACCAATCCTGAGATGTCTCTGAGAGAGTATCTCTGTTTCAGATAGCTTTTTTTGGAGGGGGGCGGTACTGGGGATAAGCTTGGGACCTTGTGTTTGCCAGGTAGGCACTTAAGTATCTCTGTTTTACTGGCGAAGAACACTGAGGCTCAACAAGGTCAAATAATGAGATGACAGATCCATGGCCAATGGGTGATACATCTGGCTAAGGATCCAGGTCCCACAAACCGCAAAGCCTCCTCAGCCGTGGGGCTCTGCTGCACATTTTCGCCTACTCTGGACACTTGTCCTGACCATTTTCCCCCCCATGAGTCCATACCAGTATCCCTCTTCATGCCACTGCCAGTAAAACCATGGAATCCTCACTGCCTACTGGACACATGTGGCTACAGAGTGTGGCATTTTCATTTCCCAGTTACTTCAGATGTTGTCTTGCTCTTTCCACTTGATTTCTTCCTCTTGGTTAAACTTCCTACACTGCTTCCCCAATTTCTTTTGTCTTCTTAATATTCAGCCCTATTTTTGAAAAGCAAAGTGACCCAGTCATTTTTCATAAGCCTTAGTGGCAAAGACACAGACACTTTCACAGGAAGAGAAAGCTGGAAGAGGATTCTGACCAGCTACATTCTGTGTCATCATGAAACAGCCAGTATACATAGGAAAATACAGCAAGGAGCAGTGGATTTTCTTTTTTTCCTTCCTTCCTTCCTTCCTTCCTTCCTTCCTTTCTTTCTTTCTTTCTTTCTTTCTTTCTTTCTTTCTTTCTTTCTTTCTTCTTTTTTGTTGTTGTTGTGGTGGCTCAGCCTGCCTTAGGGGTGGGGCTGGTATGGCATGTGGTACCCCAGGATCAAACACTGGTCCCTGTGCTTGTATGCTTGCCTAAGCAGGTGCTTTAGACCACTGAGCTATCCCACTGGCCCAAAGTGGTGGATTTTCTGAACTCAAACTGCTTAACCATCTAGCCCTTTCTTAACCACTACTTTAAAGATGTAAGTATAGAATCAACTGAATTATCATTTATAAAATTTAGGGTCTGAAATGTAAAGAACAGAGAAGAACATCAGAAATGTTCTGGTTAACTGCATTTTATGAAGAATTTATACATAAAAAATTGGTTCAAAGAATTTGCTTTATAAATTCTTTGACTACAAATCTGATATCTCCACATTTTTATCACTGTAGGGGTGAAGAGGGGTACACATGAAGATGATGCACTGATATTTATTTTATAGTACAATGGAAAGATAATACTATTTGTGAAAAGTGACAATGTTTAATAAGTGTTCAGACACTGTCTCTCCCACAACCCCACGAGGCCTATCTCATTAAGCCTACTTACAAATGAGGACAGGCAGTTCGCCGAAGGTAAATGCATTTCCAAAGCCGCAGGCAGCAGGAGCGCCTGCCAAGGGTACAGTGCAAACCCTGGCTCCATGTGCTGGGGCTCTGTATACCTAGCGACAGAGAATCTTTTCTTTACTGACATTCCATTTGGAAGAAGACTTAGAATAAGTCACTTAATGAATTATTATATTAATTTCTAACCACTTACAGTTTATTATATAGCATTTAGACAGCACAGCACACATAACCTTACCATAAATTCAGCTTCTCTGATGCGTACTGATTACTGTGGAAAGTTTTATACATAGAGGGACCCTTTGCCCTGTAACACAGATGTTCCTTAGGGGAACTGAGTTTGATATTGGGGTCAACAGCACAGCTTCTGCACATAGAAGTGCCTGAGTTGGATGGATGTTGGCCTTGCTTCCTGCAAATGTGTAGTCTCAGACAAATCGCTTCATCTGCACATCCATGTGTGTAAAGGAGTACCCACAACAGGCTCTAGCTAATGGATATATAAGGATTAAATAACTCATGTGAAATGCTAAGTGCTCAGGCACAGTGTGTGCATGTGTATGAGTATTAAATGTCACAGCGTAGGGCATTCTAAATAGAGAAGGTCATAGGAAAAGGCAAAGTATTGAAGCTCAGGCTGTATTAGGGAAATGAAATGGGTATGATGTAAGAAATATTCCAGGAAAGCTGAATTAGAGAAGAGCTTCAGAATGGTGGGCTGAGAAGTTCTAATGGGAGGCAGCAAGGTTCTGTAGGAACAGTTCTACCACCAGAAACCTACAGCCAGGCACTCGGTCTTAGGCAAATTCCATCATCCCTGGGAATCTATACCTCCCTGTAAAATAAAAAGAGCAAACCAGATAGTTATGAAAAGCCCTCTAAGTTTACTCCTCCTAAGAGCAGTAGTGTAGCACGAAATATGGTAAGCAGGGAAGGGCATGATAAGATTGAAAACCACAGTCAGGTGTGGAGGTACAGGTCTGTAATCTCAGCATTTGGGAGGCTGAAGAGGGATACTACTGTGAGTTCGAGGTCAGAATGGGCCACACAGTAACTTCAAGATCAGCCTGGACTGTGTAGAGAGACCCTGTCTGGAAAAAACCTAAAGACTAACTAAATAAACAATAAAACCATGAAAGTAAATCTGAGAACATTAGCTTGGAATGATGGATTGGAGCAAGGAGAGAACAGAAAGGGACAAAAAGCTAGAAGAGCACTAGGAAAGTCCCACATGTATGTTAAATGTTATACAGATATTAGAAGTCTCTAGCCAAGCAGGGGGCTGGTCTAGATTCCAGGGATGTACACTGTCGGTATTGTTAAATGGGCAAATAACTAAAGTTACCTACTGTGAAAACAAATCTATTCTACTAAAATAAGTTCAGGACAAAACAGGGTTTAATTGATGGGACATTTGACCAATGGCTTAATCATTCCAGTGGGCTCTGATATGAAGAGCAAGGATGCCAGTATTTGTAAAATGTATAGATCTGCAGAAGCAAGCTACTTCGCAACAGGGTAACCTTACTGGAAGGAAGGTCATCACTGCAATGTTCTTTGGTGTTCTGAGGACTGACCATACTCAGTGACACTGGAAAAAACTGCATAGGAGAACAACATTCGGAAATGCTGGAAACTGAGCCAAGAAAAAGGCTTTGTAAGCCAAGCAGGCACTGGCTGCATACCACTCCCTGCAGGTATTTGGATTCAGGACAAAGAACTGAACATCAGAACACTTAACTCCCTCACTAAGTAACCAAACTAAAATCTTCCAGTCTTGTGACTTGAACGTCCTTGATGTCCCTAAAGCCCTTGCAATCAGTGGTTGGTTGGACGCCTGTGGGAGACCTTTCCTGCTCCATCCCCTCTCTCACACACAATCAAGGGAGGAATCAAAATGCTGTAGCGTGAGCCCCTTGACGCCACCTAGGAAATGCTTTGCACAAATCATCAGAGCTTTTCTGGGAAAAGAGTCCAAGGTTTCCAGTCTCGCGGCCTCAGCAAAGTATAAAAATCATGTCTACTGAGAGTAGAAACTCA